TGTGTGTGTGTGTGTGTGTGTGTGTGTGTGTGTGTGTGTGTGTGTGCGACGTCGGTGGCGGAAGGCGAACGACTGGTCGATGTCGCCGACTAGCTACAGCCGCACCTGTCCACCACCATACCGGGCAGCATGCCGTAGATGATGTTGAAGTCGGGGTCGTAGTACAACATGGATATGGCGGACATCTTGCGGGGCGCGCAGCACGGACCCGTGCCGAACTTGGTCATCTGCACCAGGTGCGTGTGCGGGTACTTCGGGAACAGCATCGGGTCGCACGCGCCGGAACAGTAGTTGGCCACGTACCGCTTGGGGGCGATGATCCAGTGCCAGCCAAACTCCTCGAAGTCGACCGTCAGGGGGAACCGGCAGCACCGGGTCTCCGTGGACGTCTCGTTGCACGTCAGCCCGGACGCCGCATTCCGCCTGACTCGGGACCGTCGGTCCTCCCGAGTGTGCACCTCCAAGTACGGGATCTAACAATATCACGGACCAATCGGATTAGAGTTGACGACGACGAGTGCGCGTTTTTATTTGGCGGGGAGGTGGGATGAGGGTGTGTGGTGTGCGGTGTGGGTGCATGTGTGTGTCGGATTGTGCGTGACAAGCGGTGAAGGTATATAAGGTGATAGGGTGTTGCAGGTGGAGGTGGCGGTGATGGTGTGTTATAACTATAACAGCGGCGACCGACGGCGCATCAAAAGAAACCGTGAGCGACACGGTGGCGCACAATCGACGGGCAGAGGGGTGCGTGGTGGTGAAGCGGCGGGAATGTGACGGTTGAACGGACGATAATGATTTTGTAATTTTCGAAAGAAAAAAACCGTAAACGATGGGTCGAGAAAGAGAAAATGAGAGAGAGAGAGAGAGAGGAGAGATTCTGACGTGTTACACTTCGACTAATATATATAATTTTCCACGTTCGATTAATTCACTCGTTTTTTTTTTTCTATATATATTTATTTATAACTATAATTATTACACATAATATTATATAGGAGGTACCTATACCATTAAATATTTATATTAAAATACGTGTTTACTATTATTATGTTATCAAGATACCCTTCTCGACGAGCATTTTCGATTTTCAATTTTTTTTTCTTTTTCTTTAATCCACCGACAGACGGTCGCACGTATATATTATATAAATGATATGTATGTACGTGTGGTTATTATTTCGCACTGCCATCATGCCCGTGGCAAGTACGATGACGTGCGTATAATGTTACGTTATTTTTTCGCGATTCGTATTTCGTATAATATGTATTATGTCTATGTAAAAGCCAGTCGACATTATTATACCATCGGGTGAGTTGGTTAGTATACGCGCCGTAAGGTATATTATAATATATTATGTAGTCGAGTGCAAATAGTGTATCAAATTATTGCACGGTTAACAATTTTCTAATGCACGTTGCTCAATAAACCGTTGGCGATATTACAATAACGTCCAAGTTCGCCGGTTTTATGATTGTCTTAATGTTAAGCGAACAAAAAATTTTACCGTCTTATTTCCATACTAACGTATCCCCTCTCTCCTACCTACAATAGTATAACGTCATCTATAACGAACCGCGCGTAGATCTCATAATATTATATTATTATAATACCGTACTCCCGGAGTTATAATTTCGTTACATTATGCGGTTATTATTAATTAATTTACTACTATTCTTTTCATATCGTCGTGTGTTGGTATATACATTGTATAATAATAATTATACACTATAAACATATCGTATTTTACATTTATAACGTTACGTACTAGGACTACGATCCATGATATACGCACGTATGGCCGGTGAGTATAATTTATTAATTATAACGTACCTCGGTCATGTCTTCTCTTTTCCTGGCGTCCGTTACGTACGGCGTCCTGGCGTGCGTGGTGTTCTTGTTCACGTAGTACGCGTGCACCGCTAGAGTCAAGTTCTTGGGCCCGTCCGTGGTCTTGAACCAGTCGGACATGTGCCTCTGTAGGTCAATGGGCACCCAGCCCGGTTGGGTGGTGTTGATAACGCACTGCAAACACGCGAAAAATGACAAATTTAAACAAAATGAAAACCACCTGGTAATAGTACCTACTATAGTATACCACTAACTGTGACAGTAAGCCATAATTATTATGTTAATATCACTGCAATTTTACCGACCGTAATGCTGGTTAATACCGAGTTCATCAATTGTATTATAATATATGTAATATATTATGCGATAATAGTCGGCAAAAATCAATTGCGAACAACTTTTAAATGGGCTGGGTTATCGCAAGACTTATTGTATTGTGTAGTTCATTATTATTACCTTTAAGCTGGACACAAATGACTGATGTAAGGTGATTGGGTAGATTCTGTACACCTCTATCATGACCACCGCGTCATCGATGACCACATCCAAACGTCTCTTGTACAGCCACAGGATCGCTTCGGTAATCCGTTGCTGGCCCGTCTGTTCGGAGAACGTAAAATAGAGCGGATAGTGGCCCCGTAATTTCTGCACCGTGGGATCTGTGTGCCATACAAAAACCGACCCCCGACAAAAGGGTGACGGTTGGTATTTATTATTATCATTATTATTATTATTATTATTATTATTATTATTATTATCATTATTATCATTATTATCATTACCATTACACCATTAATCGTGTTTATTATATTACTATGAGTGTTCTGTTGTTGTTGTTTTTGTTATTATTATTATTATTATTATTATTATATTATTATTGTTACGATCGAAACGCCATCATTATAACCGCGTTAGGCAGCCTTCAAGGGACGAGCATATCATCAACCCCGAACCCAGCGGCAATTTCCCACGCACGCCACCACACCATCACGTGCACCGACAGTTTATGTACAACAGCGCCCCTAAAATATTTCTTCGAACTTTTACTCAAATACTTTTTGATCCCGTCAAGGTGCGATTAAGAAAAGAAAAAACCCTAATATGTTATATAATAAGAAAATATAAAAAAACACATAATTCGCCTAATCATCGTCTATAATGATACATATATAATAAAATAAATCATATTTAGGTATTTATATATATATATATATATCTTATAATTTATAGGTAATCTATTTGACCTTAATTTAGTAATGATAAAATTTGGACGGTGAATGAGACGACAATCGATAATCATCTAATGTATACATTGTAATAAAGATAATCATAATATACACAAATAAAACACGAAGGCGTTTTTTTTTTTTTTACAAAAGAAAACATCATAGAATAATATAATGTTTAAAAGCCAAATTAGCCAAATTAAAAAAAAAAAAAAAGTTATCTAGATGATTAATTAATTTAAGTACGAGAGTCGTTGCCTAAAATGAAAATTTCGCGGAAACCTTGCTTAAACTATAATTACTAGATTTTTGTCAATGGACGGATGACGGTAATCTTCACTCATACAGAAGTGTAATTTCAATTTTCATCTAAGGAGTTGTAATTTAACCAACAATCAATTATAAGCCAAATAAACAGTGTGGGTGAATTCTATCATTTATATACTTCAAAAATATAAATACATATCCGACTTGATTAATACAACCGTGAATCACATTAAATTTAATAATTAAATAATTAATATTATCATCTGCTTTAAAAAAATTACTTCTGAGATCAAAAAATGGATGTTTATACAAAATGTTTGTACACGCAAAAGGTTAAACTATATAGAATTTATAAAAATGTATTTTATGTTAAAACAAAAATTATTTTCATAACAATTTAGTTATTATCTAAGATTTATAACTGAAGTTTTGGAGAAACTAATTTCTGGAGTCCAAATTCCTTCCTCCAATCTCTGAATTACGCCTATATATACCTATTAATAATTATTTTAAATTGTAATCTTTCATGTAATCTAGTAAAAGCTTATTGTATGTAATTTTTATGTATACAGAATATAGATTTTATATTTTTTAATTTATAAATAACAAAATAGTTCAAATAATCAAATATAATTTTCCCATATTGATTCATGCTTTATGAGATGTGCACACATATACCCAGATACAAGAGGTATATTAATGTAATGAATCAATCGAATTTAAATATCGGTTTATTTTATCAATTTATATTAATTTATAAACATAAATTATTTGTAAAAATATTCCAAATGTAATAAATACTTGATCTTATATTACATCTAGGTACTGAATACTTTATATTTTTATAACATAATTTTAAAGAATGCTGTGCTCGGTATACACTTTTAATAACTGAGAAACTATACTTGTTCGAATTTCAAATTAGGTACATCAACATTTTCCAAAAATTAAACACTAAATAGGTAGTTACAGCATAAAAAGAAAGGGGGATTTTTTTTTAAAAATCAGAAGTTTGTATAATCACTGGACACTCCTTAAGTAGTAAAAAAAAAAATTAAGAATTTAAAAATATTATCGTCATTTGAATGTATTAAAAAATTCTAAAAATAAGGTTAGAAATACGAGCTTTATAACATTTTAAGAGTCTGCCGTCACCGTCATATTCTTTCGTTCTTCGCTATCCTAAATAGGCTAAATAGTTTCCCTCCAATATTTTATGTCTAGCGTTCTCAAGTCGTGGCTGACCCCGTCAAACCATCGCTTCTTTGGTCTTATTAAAAATAATAAACAAACGGGGGTGAGCATGCTTAGTGAATCATCCAATATAATAATATTATGTCTGTAAAACGATGCACCGTGGACCGTCTCAAAAGTTTATCGGCGCAAAAACCGACGTGATCATCGTTCAGCCGTCGCCGCAGTAAGGTTTCCGTCCGACCACTTGATATTATAATATTATACGCACTCTTCCCCTCGCGTAGTGTGTTATACGCGACGCGCTCGGTCGGCTGCCCACCCGCCAGCCAATCGTGCTACTGGCTGTACACACGGCCAATTGACCACCACCCGCGTGACACGACGCGATTATAATTATATTATTTTATAGACGAAGCGATCGAAAAGAAGTCGTCACCGATAAAATTCGTGAGCGACGGCCGTCGATGACGTACAAGTCTAATATTTTTAATATTTTCGCCCACGTCGTCTCCGTGGCACGTGGCGCGTCTATTTGGCATTTGATTACTAAAGTAATCATGCAAGTATAACGATGATACGGAACATAATATATAATAATTAATTGTGTTTGAAAGTAATAGGGGTAAAAAAAAAAAATTGAGAAATAAAACATGACAAAAAACAAAAAAAAAAAAAAAACGGAAGAAACAGGTTAAACTCGTCGGGAAATAGTAATTACACTATAGATAATAATTCACAATTCTCGGAACAGCTACTTTGCAACCGACGTGTTGTATTCGGCGTAAGTACGCAAGAATCTGCCGTATATTATATTTTATATACACTAACCTATACGTAATAATATTTGATGCACACTATTATCCCTTCTTCCGACGTAATAATATTTTTCTCGCTCATCGACGCTCTGTATCTCTAAATCCGTTTCTATCTCCGGCATTATAACCGCACGCAATACTCGCTTTTCTGCGTAGGTACATTTCATATTATTATTATTATTATTATTATTATTATTATATTTATGTACGCGTGTGAGAGCTGAGTGCTTCTATTCACGTCCCGTTAGAAAAAACTTTAACGTCGCATTTTTATTACGATACTCTATAATAATAATAATATGTGCACAACACACACGCGTGCAGCCCACATGCCTTCGAACAAAGCATCACGCAGTGGGGAACATCGCAGCATTATTTGCGAGTTATATACTGCAACTAATCATCCGACGGACTGAGGTTCGCGCAAGATAAAAATGATAATATATGCGTCGCGTGTCGCACATGCACACACACATATATATACTATATATAAAGAAATACAAAAGTATAATAGTTGTACGTATATATTGTTTTAATCGATCAGCACAATACGCGACGGCGTCGGAATATTGTGCGATTTCGAGTTGGTTTTTTTTTTTTTTTTTTATTCGCGCATCGATTTTAAGGTTCAAAAAATTTAACCACAGGCCAAAATAATAATAACAAACGCAGCATCGAATGCGATAAACAACGACAAGTTGACCCCCGTCATAATGTACGTACGACGTCTTCTCGTAGGTATCATGACTGTGGATATATTCTTAGTTTTTATCCCAACATATTGATAAATAGTTGCACGGTTCAGTTTCAGATTTGGAATGATTATAATATACATGGCATACAATAATACGCGTCAGGTCTTACATTTTCCCTTGATTTTATTATTATTGTTTTTAATTAAAAGGAATATATTGTTCACACTTTCATGTATTTGAAAACGAAATTTCAATACTCATTCAATTGTAGTATTCTTTAATTTACAAAAATTATATAACCATTAAAAACGATTAGGTATAATAAATTTGTAAAAAAAACCTGTTTTTCTATCTCCGGGTTTTGTTTAGAGATATTTAATAAAAAAATACTTTAAATTTTAGTAACAACTTGATTTTAGAATTAATAAATTGTGATGGTTTATAAGCTTAATAAAAAATTGTGAACACATTCATTTATGAATTGACAAATATTATGATTCAGCAAAAAGTAGTTTTTACACATAAAACAACGTTAAATGATGACACATTATAATAATTTATAATTTAACAAACACTAAAATTGTTTAAAATATTATTTATATTTTTAAAAGAATATACACATTTATTTCAAAATATTCATTTTAAATATTTCTCTATGTTATTTTCGATAATGCGATTTGCATGTTAAACAAAAAATTTACGTATATTTGCTGAAAAAACTGAATACATCTAAAGTGTACAAAATAAAATAATCTAAGCTAAAAAAAAATCTACAGTATTAGTAGTACGTCATAATTTATTGGACACAACATAAAACAATTTAATAAAGCCATTCTCAAGACAACAACTAATTTAATCGAATCATATCTTTTTATGGCGACAAAAAAACATTGAAAATCAATTTATGTTTCATTTTAAATATAGGTATAACCTTAGCAAATAGATATAAAAATAATTAGTCGACAATGCAACGAAGAAAAAATCAATTGCAATTGAATTCAATTAATAACAGTTATAAGTTATAACACATGACTTGGATGATTATCATGTTCTGCCAATTTCAACTTCGAATCTCGGTTTAAATTACTTATCGTGAAGCGTCACACTTTACCACACGACACGCAGACTGCCGGCCGAACCACTTATTTACATCGCACATAATATTATATTTAACAAAAACCGCACATAAGGAGTATTCGCAAACTTGCAGGTATCCTCATATATGGAGTGCTCGCGAAATCCGTGACAAGGAAGTTATCTATATGGTTAATGCAATGCATTATTTATATAATAAAATGTAATAAGCATGAATTATACATAATATTATGTGCGGGTACCTATGTACATTATTGTATAGTCGTACGGGAAATTTACAGAACTCCTCCTCTATTGAGCCGAGACCCGGGTGTATTAAACTCCACAAAACATCGATCGATATTTCCTTTCCCCATACACATAA